TATAACCTAAAGATGCTATGTGAAAGTTTGAAACAGAAAATAGTGGATTTCTTCTTGCCACTTTCTTGGTAAAGAAAACACATTTTTACTCAAATTAATCAAAATGGATTTATAGCGTTTTGGAACCAAACTCTTAATTTACAAGTCTTATTTTTTTGCTTCACAAAATAAAATGACAAAATGTCTAAAAATTATGCATGCATATGCAAAGCTGATAAATGGGAGGTCTGAAACAGAAGTAGCCCCTTATAAAATGATTTTTTAACTGGTTTTGAGAATGTCGCACTTTGTTTTACATACAGGTCTTGCGCGTGGTCTTAGGTGAGAGTGTACACGCGAGAATGTGAGCCAGTGGGAAAGAGAAGGTAAATAAATTTATATGGACGTTATTTTGGCATGTTTTATGCAAATTATTCGCTTTTGGCACAACATGGTCCAATATTTATATTAATTTCTACACAAAATCACTTTACAGATGGAAAAAGGGTGAACCTCTGAAAGTGAAGTTAAATTTGAGTGTCAATTCACTGCACATGCAAAACTCATCAAAAATATTATCTAACTGAGCAAAATCAGGTGAGATGTCTTTTTAATTCATATCTTCACTTTGTTCAGAAGCAGAGTACAGGAAGACTTCATTATTTTTTCTCTTCCCTTGATCAGGATGGACCAGCACACTAGGCTGACCTTCATTTTTCAGGAACATGCTCAGCGCTTCATTGGTGTTTTCAGTCAGCGTCGCTCTAGAATGGAGCAGTTCCTGTCAGATCTGGAGGAGAGTGCAGTCCAGCTGGACAGGATGAAGATGGGGGCCAGTATCTCCACCGTGGCTGGCAGTTCAGTGGGGATAGCAGGAGGAGTCTTGTCCATTGTTGGTCTTGCTCTTGCCCCCGTCACTGCAGGAGTGTCACTGGTTCTGACACTGACCGGTGTCGGTCTGGGGGTGACCAGTGGTGTCAATAGTGTCGTCACAGGCATCACTGAGGCAGTAGTCAACAGTCAGCAAGGGAAAAATGCACAGAACATTTTCCAGAGATACATGGATGATGTGGGCAAGATTCTAGACTGTCTGGAGCAGGCCAGTAGTAGGGAGCCTGATGTGAAGGGGCTTGCTGGGGTTGATATCATTACAGCTGGAAAATTGGTATTTCGTGCTATAGGTTTATGCAGTAATATTGGATCCCTGGTAGATAAAGCACTACAAATTGAGGAGGGGATTGTCACAGCAATCAAAATTAGCCTCAATAATGCAAAAAGTGAACATAATATTACAAAGCACACAGCAAAAATGCATGGCCAGAATTGGGCAGCTGACAAAAGGGAAGCCACTAGCGCTCTCAAAGTTTGCTAGAGGTGGATTCATCACACTAAATGCCCTCTTTATTGGCGTAGATGTCTTTTTTATTGGCAAAGAAAATAAAAGTCTGGCCAAAGGGAGCAAGAGTGAGAAATCTCAGCTCATCTGCTCCAGAGCAGCTCTGTGGAAATCTGAGCTGGAAGCCTGGCAGAATATACATGATTCCTTATGCATTGGAATATGGAGGAAAAGCTAGGATGTGTTGGAGCAGTCTTTTCTTTTTCTTTTTCTTTTTAGAAAAATTTAGAATGTACTTTTCAAGATTAAGAACAGTTGAGATGAGCATAAAGTGAATAAATTTTGAATAGATTGCACAGCCATATTTAACACAGCAACACTGTAGTTAGAGCAGTTATTCTGGTGGTTTCCTGAAACACTTGTAACTGGTTACTCCTACAATTTTATCATCTAGAAACTTAAAAATGAGGATTCCTAAATCCTATACTAAATTATAGGATTAGGAGAGAAAAAAAAGATGTAGCCTACTTGATTTTCAGCACATAGTGGATATTTAGAGTATTTACAGCAATTGGATATGTAGAATTTATCTTTTTAAATCATTGTTGTTGTGGGGTTAAATGCTTGTAACTCTTCAATCCTATAAAGCTACATATATACAAATTATTTAGAATGTCAGATCAGATAACTAATTAAAACAAATTGTAACTGCAATAAAGTGTGTGTTTCTTGAATATGTGTGTTGTGTCGAAGCCTTAGGATTCATTATGCAATATGTTTTATATTTTAGGAATGTAAACTGGTTACATCTCATTTAGATTAGAGTGAATTTGGGGTTTATTACATTTATTATATACTCATATCTGTGTTTGCATACTCATAATTCAAGGTAAAGTGGGACACTTTTTGTTAAACTTGTAATTTAGATAACCAGATGTTTTCTCCTTGTCTTTTCTTTATTGGCTTTGTTAACTTTAAAGGGGTCATATGATGCTGCTAAAAAGAACATTATTTTGGGTATTTGGTGTAATGATGTAATGGTATGTTTATGCGGTTTAAGGTTCAAAAAACACATTATTTTCCACATACTGTACATTATTGTTTCTTGTCGGCAACCACATGTGACGACCCCGGGCTGGACTCCGCTTCGTCCCCGTTGAAAGCCGATGTGGCGATCCACAGCGCAGTTGTAGTATTTCCTCAGCAACCAGCATGGTTCAGCTCCAGGCATGATGAAGCAGATATCGTCCTCTTTTGGAAGGCCAAACAAAGTAGTTTCGCTTTCACAA